CGAAAAAGCTTAGGCCAACCGATACAGAACAAATACAAAAAGCAGCATCCACCTTAATACTCATTAGTGTGCTGAACAATTCGTTCATGCATGTTCCGGTACTTTTGCCCATAAAACTTGACCTCTGCAAGGAATCCACATAATTTAGCTTTAACTCCCAGTTTTAATTCTTCATTTATAAAAACAAGTAATTTTTGGAACAAACTGCTTTGCAATCAACGGTATTCCTTTGATATGGCTCTGTAACAAGTTACTTTTCAGTAGTCTTATTTTCTGATTGACTCAACATATTTTGGGGGACGGGAAGGAAGGAAAAGGGAGCAGTTAAATAAACCAAAATTTACAATTTTGCTTTTGATCCACTCTGTTTTCTAAAAAATAGAAAGTCGCCATGGTTTAAGAGACAATGCCATAGATACGGCAACCCACTGCAGAACTTCTAAGGGCTGTTTTGTAGTAGAACTCGGGATAATTTAGGCTCTCTGCATTCTACGCAGATAAATGCCAACGTCTACGCAGACAAGTGCCAGTTGGTCAACTAAAAATCACTCGCGTTTTTTTGACCGAACTTTCAAACTTGTAGCGAGTTATGAAAACGGCTCCATTTAGTGCTACGCAGGCTTACCTCTTCCAGCTATTAAATGTGTATAAGTTTAACGCGCCTGAAAGATATGTTTGCTCGATTCGACATGTTTGGAAAACTAACTGGTTTATGAACTGTGACAGGTTGACGCTTGGAGTAATAATGGGCACATTTCTGATATGCTGGCTACCATTTTTCATTGTAAATATTATTCGTTCGTTCTTTCCCGGCAGAGTGTCTGACGTACAATTTGTGGTAAGCATTTTGAAGTACAGCAAAAGCACTAGCAAATTATTTTGCTTTTGAATTTTTTACACTATTTCATATACCATATTTTGAATTTCTTGTCTTTAAATATTCCTTTCCGGTAGAGTGTATCAAAATAAATGCAAGCTTTTGGGGAAAGGGCGCTAATCGTATAAAAGAAAATCTTGCAATCATCTTTTAGATAGCGATTCGCCTTGATCTTTGACTGTAGGACCAAATCCAGAAAATTTTTACTCCAGGATAAAAAAGACATAAAAATACAAATTCAGAGCCGCCTATTTTGTAACGGATCAAAAATTTAACTCAAGCCGTTATCTTTTCCGTGTTCTAAATTTTCACCTTTGATTCCTCTTAGTATAATTATGAGTCATAAGATGTGTGCTTATATTCATGGATGCGTGTGTCTGTCAGAGCATTTCAACTCGGCATCCAAGCAAGCTTCGGCGCTTAAATTTTGCTATTGGGTTCACCTGCCAGGTCCCACCCCAGGACCGCGGTACTAACCTTCACGCACGTCTAGGGCGCACGTACGAGCACGTGAGATTTTTGGCGGGAAAGTTGCTAGTTCGGAAACCAGAGAAGCTGGACGGCCAAAATTTCAAGAGATTGCCCCTTGTCCAAGTGCGACTTAAAGATTTCAGATTCAGCTCCCAGGTATACGCGGTACTCACGTGCAGGCACATGAACAGGAACCAAGAAGGCTGGAAAGCTGAAATTTTGACAGTTTGTTTCCTGTCCAAGTACAACTTGAAGTCAGTGTCCAATTCGCATATTTGAAAATTCATTGGCCTTAATCGTATTCAGACTGTAGTGAGAAAACATGCTCTCCTCTGGGAAGTTACCAGCTTTGAAAGGCGTGTTGACCATTTTATAATGAACCTGGCCATCATAGGAGGTAAACCAGTTCTTCCGAATGGCAGTATTTGTTTCAGGCTGTTACTTGGCTAGGCTATGCTAATTCAACAGCGAATCCAATCATATATACTATTTTGAACAAGGATTTTCGAACTGCATTTAAAAGGATATTATTTGGAAAAGTGCTGTGTTCT